GAGGTCCCTCGCAGTCGTTCGGGCAGGTCTTCCTTTGCTATTTCTGTCGTTTGGGGTGGTGGAGTTACGATTAATATTTTACTGATATTTTGTATTGCAGTGTAGGTGGTTGTGTGCATTGGCTCTTTCATTTTCTTTTCTGCTAGCAACAATTTGATGTGATCGAGCTCTGTGTGTAATTTCACAGATGTGCTCCACGGCAAATTATCGTTGCTATTTAGCAGTTTGAGTAGTGTTGCCCTTCTGGCTCTCAGGCGTTTTACTACGCCGCCTCTTTTGCCACACATACCACTCTACTTACTGCGTTCAGTTCCGCTCCATTTCGTTGTTAATTTTTTTTTTTGATGTTACTGCTGCTTCCAGTGGTGCCTGCTGTGGTGCTGCTGTTGTTGTCCGCTCTCGCTCTCCGCTTTTTTTTTTTATGATTTATTTTAACATATTTTTGTTTCCGAACATTGTACATGTTCGTGACGTCCTGTCACGGTCGCCATGTAATATGTCACTATTGTAATTATAACACTGGCACGTCTGTGCCGTTTGACTTCGGTTTTTTGAATATCCTTATTGAATTTATTCTTATAAATCAGACCGCATAGCTGCGCTGCCGGTTACGCCAACAGCGGAGCGGCTTCATACATATTTGTCTTATCAGCATAATCGAGAGGGCAAGAGCCGTATGTACATATGTGTATATATATATATGCTTCAAGTGGTCAGCGTGGGAATGCTGACTTAGCTTAGCGCATAAGCGGCGATCATATTGCACGCTCACTTGAAGTGGTTTTGTTTGTGTACTGCAACAATGTGTTGCTGATACATTTATTGTTAACCATTGGGTACAGTGTATACTCAATATATGCACATACTACAACTTCTTGCAGATGAGTTTGGGCTGGGGGAACCTTATCAGAAACCGTAGTAGGTCGGCGTCCTGGAAGGCGGTGACGTTGGAGACTTCCAGGAGTTCCACCAGGCTTATGTTAGCGAAGTGCTGCTCGTTCAGCTCTCGGATGTCGGTGCCGGCGAGGAAGGTCGGGCTCACCATCTTGATTTTGGCTAGTGTCAGCCCCAGGATGAGGTTCTCTAAGTCGGTGATCACGATTCGGTTTCGGGCTACCATGCTCTCCGCCAGCAGGCTGTCCTCTGCGTCGTCCGATTTCACAATGTGGTTCATCAGTCGGGTCATCTCGTTTAGGCGGGCCTGAATCTTCGTGTTAATCTCGATCTGCCTGTTGCTGGCGTCTACCAGTTGGGTCTGCTTGAATTTCATCTGCTCCCAGTCGTCGAAGTCGGGGGTCCCGGAGATACGACCCCCCGCCGCCATACTCCCGCCACTGCCCGCCGGGCAGCATCACCTTGAAAGGAAGGCCGTCAGAGCTGCCCTCGTACCAACAAGCACGGAGAGGCACCCCACCACGCGGCCCTCGGATCTCGACCCCTTCGTTTTCCCCCATGGGTGATAGATTCAACGACTACGCTAGGTCCCGCGACGCGACCCCCGATCTCCGCGGACCCCTCAACACCGACGAAGAGGACAGTCTCGACGAGGACACCAGCCGCCATGGGGCCACTACCCCTAACGAGGACCCCAACGCCGACGAACCCATGGAAATTGACGACTACGCGGAGACGTCAACACAAAGCACCCCGACGCCTCTAATCCAGGAGGTACGGTGGCGACTAGAGCCGCGGGGTCGGACCCCATTCGACAGTTGGTGGTTCGAACAAAGGTTCGCCGCGCACCCGACGCAAGAGTCTTAGTAACTCTCGTCGGGGAAGAAAGGGGAGGGTGTAACGAACCTAAAAGGTTTCGAAACAATCCGTCCCCCGACCTATAATGAGCGCATCACACCACACCCCACAACCAGCGCCCCCTCCGCAAGCAACCACCGATCAACACGCGCCAACTCCAGAACGATGACCAAAGACATCAGGTCACGCGAGCTTTCCCCCACTCCAAGCCAAGCCATCGGCCGAGTGCGGTCTTCCGGGTTCATCGACGGAGGAAAGTCGGCGCCGCCAAAATCTGCAACGATCACCAAGAACGGCAAAGTGCGCCCCGACGCGGAAGTGCATTTGTCAAACCCGCCGACCCAGCAATACGGGCCTATAAAAAGACGGCGACGAGAACCAAAGAGCAACTTACACAGAGACCCGGTCCGGAGTACAGACGCAGTACCTGGAACTCACGAGAAGACATCGGCGACGAAGTAAAATAAGTTCATTTAAACTACTAATAAGTACAATAAAGTGCCAAATTATCAATGTAAAACACCCGATTGCGTAAGTTCACTCCAATCAGTCGAGGCACCGACGCCACCCCGCCCCGAGTCCACGCAGCCGTTTCGTATGCACGACGAGCGACGCCCATTCTAGCCCGATCCGCCCCTCTACGATAGGCCGCCCCCCGACGCCGCCCTTAAGGTTCCATCCAATTTCTACAAATTTCTTGTGGATTGACCCCTGGACGGGACTGAGCTTACCTCAGCCTGGAATAGGTCCATCACAGTGTATAATGGATAACTTTATTGTCTGGTGGGTGATTAGCAGTTGCACCGCTGTCTTCGCCCTCTGCGGAGAGAGTGCACTGTCAGCAGAACTCGCGGCAGTGGCTAGTGTTTTGTCGTGAAGTGTTTCCTGATCAGGAAAATATAAAGTAATCTATAACAGAAAAAATCACCATCAATCCCCAGATTCCCCGGTTTTAGACATGCTAAAAACTAGAATCATATCTGTAGACTTAGGAGAACAATGACCTCTGTTTTAGCCAGAAGAGGATGCCTACAAGGACATGTACTAAGTCCTCTTCTCTGGACTTTGCACATTGATAAGTTTTCTCGAGTCTAAACCGCCGCGGCCGGCAGCACGGCCCTATCTCATGTGCAGCGGAAAGTGATCTGCTGCTGCGCTGCCGCTCACGTACACCTGTTCACCCCGGTTTAAATGGGGAAACCATCTTTCAGGACTTTTAGATGTTTCGAATCTTTTGAATAAACGTAAACCATTCGAAGTCAGCTAGCTTTATGACAGCAGAATTTAATAACTAGCGTGCAAACTTGCAGAATTGCAAAGTGAAAATATAGGCTTTTCAGAAAATTTGTAGCCATTTCTGTTCGACCTTCGACCTTTTGTTGTCTCAGTCCACATGGACTGGTCGAACGCGCAGAGCATCTCATGCCAGTTAGAGTTGTCGTCGATCGCATTATCGTTTCGCATTGCCTTATTTACAGTTGACACACTACTCCGAGCTCACGACCCCTCCCTTCAACTTCGTGCATAAAAACACCGAACAATAAAACTATGAATTAAAAACTAACAACGGAGAAAATCTTGTTCGTAAATGTGGAGTCAGAGTCGCCGAAAAAGGTGAGCAGCTTTCAACAGCTTATGTACTATAGCCTTATTAGGACACAAATCGTCATGTCACATACCGTGAGATTGAGGCATCCTTGGCCATTAGAATGACAACCATCAATAAGCATTTCCATGATCACCTCGTGTTCCTCGTGTTCGCGTTGGATCCCACACATTTAAAAATCGATCAAAATTATAAAAATATACGATCTTTGTGATTCAAATTATGGATAGTCCGAAAAAAAGTAATCGAGCGTATGGATATTTTAAAGCGAGCTAAATGCCACAAAAGTTTTCGCAACGAAATTTCAAATCATTCATCATCTTGGATAAAATGTATTTTTAAAACCATTTTTCAGCACCAAAGCTCGTTTTCTCATAGAAAGACGATAAACTTCAATAGCAACCTACGTACCTGGCATTGCACCACATCCATCGGAATCTAGTCCAACACACTTGTAAGAATCAATATTAATTTAAATTAAATATTTTTTAATATTTGCGGCTTTAGTTTCAGCATTCAAAGCTTGCCAGTCTATAAGGACAACAAACTCTTCAATAATTTGCACCAAGGCACTGGTAAAAAACGGATTAATTCGAAAATCTCATCACATGAATACAAACAAAAAGAAACTTTAAAAAATTCAATATAAACTCAATTGAACGAGCAGATCAATTCCGATATCCACGGATGACAAATGTACGTTTCGGATTTTCTAGGGTCGCAGCTGCTTTAAGCCATTGAACGATGCTTCTAATCTTGTATCGACTATTCACTATATTTTTAATTTTGGAATACGATTGTGCTTTATTTTTTTTTTTTTTGTTCTATCTTAGAACTTCTAAGTTCAATGATTTGGTAAAAACTTCAGTCACTTTAACATTACATTTTTGACATTTCCATTGACATTCACCATTCAACGGTGAACCATACAGAGGAAAATATAGAAAATTCATTCATGGATCTGAAACAATTATTTGTCCTTTAAACAGCGCGGAAAGCTCTTAAAACAGCAGTAAACTCAAAAACGACCAATCTCCAAGTTAGCGAATGTCCCCGCTATGAAAATGCATGGGCGGAGATATTTCTATATGCCATATACATATATGTATCTCTGTATAGGACCTCTGCAAGGTCCTACAAAGGTTCGGCCCTAAAAGAAGCGCGTTCATATTGCCGTTCTCCCCAAATGTAATACAGCATCGTTTTAAACAGATTTGAAAGTGTTTTATGTATTTTTCTTTTGATTTCGTTGGTATTGCATTTCGCTTATATGTTATTGCTGACTAGTTGACTGGACGCACATACACCGCATTTGCTGAGTATCCGTCTATTATGACGTCATATTAGCCACAGCAACACTTGAAACAACTGACTAACGGCCTCGAAACGAAATTGCTGTTTTGTGGCATTATCTATTTGTAACTTGGGGCTTAGATACTAACCTGTAACTGTAACTGCAATATCTTAGCCACTATATAAAAGACTGCATATATGTATGTATAGTATCTAGGTATCTAGATCGTAATTAACCGCTAATGCACACTGCCGAATCATCGGGGGGTTAACATAACCTCGCAGAACATTAACACTACATGTACATTGGCTAAACGGTGACCAGGGACCTAAGCCTTAATTAAATATATGTATATATATTATGGTTTTTAAGTGTAGTTTAGCATACAAACTTAGACTAATAAGGGGGAGGGAGAAACTAGCATCTAGTCAGATTGATCCTGCAAGGACTTGCAGGGCTTTAAACAAGTGTGTGCAGGGAGAGAGGTAGCCTATGGAGTGGAAAAGCATGTATGACGTCTAGAACCGCTGCGGAAGGATCTCGCTCTTGATACCCCGGAGCGCGTGCTTTTTCTTTCGATGCGTGGACAAATTGCATGATTGCTTAAAGGAGGCACTGCATAGCTCGCAATTGAAGCGCCGCTCTTTGCTATGCACTACACGGTGCAGCTCCATGCGCGACTTGTACTTAAACTTCAGGCCGCACGTCTCGTAGTCGCAGATGTACCAACGCTCCCCGTCGTCCGAGGAGACAGCGCTCCCGGCGCTGGCCGTGGTACTGTTCGAGTCCTTGGGCAGCTCTTGGGTGGAAAGCAGCGCCGCTGCCATAGCTGTTGAGGGGCCCACTGACATGCTGAGCGTGGAGAGACCACTTCCCGTCAGTACCCCCGCTTGCTGCTGCATGACCGAATGACTGCCAGTCACATTTGGCGGGGTGGTGCTGACTGTAGTAGATGTGCTAACGTTGGCGCTGACGAAGCCCGTCGTAGGCGGGGGCGGTGGTACCGCCGCTGGCCCCAGCTGTGGCAAGTGGTAGATGGTGGCATTGGAAGCGGCCGCTGCTGCTTGCATCTCCGGTGGCAGGGTAAGGCATGGAGGCTCAATCTTAATGTCTATGCCGCTGCTGCTCCGAGTACTGCTTTCATTGGCAGCGGCAGCGGCAGCAGAAGCCACCGCTACAGCATTCGCATGCAACTCGGCCAGCTCCTTAGCGACATCGCGCTGCTGCTGTTGTTGAAGTTGTTGTTGCTGCTGGTGTTGCTGTTGGTGTTGCTGTTGCTGGGCTTCGTGAATGTCCATTTCGCGTTGGTCATCCTCTGAGTACTTGGTAGAGCAGTGGTAGAGGGCCAAGGGAACTGTCACTGAAGTTACACTACCTGCGCCCTGGGACGTCGTCGCGCCAGAAGTGGCTGCTGCCGCCTCCACATCCGTCAAGCAGTAGCTGGATGTTCGACTGTGTTCCTAAAGTGGGTCGAGATTTATTAAATCAGTAAGAGACGCCTGAAGGGTGTTCAACCATCAGGCTTACCTTGGCAACGCCATGGAGAAAATTATGTTCATCCTGTATGTGCTTCCAGAACTGATCCTGTGTCTGTAGTTCCTCCTGGCATGTGTGGCAGACTATCCAGAAGCTATCGCCAGAGAGACAGAACTCCCCCAGTTTGGTGTAGATCTTGTTATTCTTGCTGAGAATGCGCGGAAAACCCATTGCGTTGTTGTTTGTTTATATGCTCCAGGTTGAGCTGTAGCCCTGCTCATCACTGTCACAGGTTTCCAATAGGGATGGACGATATTAACAGATACGTTAACTTATCGCAGATATTTTTAAATCACCTTTTCCGGCTGCTACAATTCACAAGCCGAATTCATGTATTGTCACAGTTTTTCGATATGGTATTCGGAGTAAATATATTTTCATAAGCCAGTATTCAGACAATAGCATAGTAATCAGATCCAATAGTCTTAGCGAGCAAAACTAGGATGATTGGCATTTTTTTCTGTGCGCTGTTTGCTGAGAACTATTCAGATCAGAAAAATAAAATACCGATTAATACTAGAAAAACAGCCGATGAGCATTAACCACACAGTGTATAGATGTATAAGTTAGTGCGGAGAGTTTAGAATATTTCAGGCTAGATATGAAATTTTTAAAAGTGGAATAGATTATCAAATTTTCTATTACCTTATGTACGCTGTTTTGCATATTTTGAAAATAAATTTGGCTTGTTTTAGCTTTAAATGTATCTTGCATCTCTTCTGGATGTTTTGTTGGATACAAAATATCGGAACTAGTTTTGTTCGGCATTTCGTCCATAGACGATTTCCAAGAAATAACCGATAATATTGTGGAAATAATCCTAATTTTTGTACATTTACAATCCAATCCCAAAATATAAAAATAGTAATTTATTATTGTAATAAAAATGGGGTTGATTTACTAAAAAAATGCATCCCCATGGAATTCTTTTGAAAATTTTAAAGACTGGTACCACTAACCATACAGTATATAGATGTACCAGTTACAGAACGAACATATCGCAAACGAACTTTCTGCGTACGCTCCCAGGTTCTTCGGCTATCATGATTTTTATTAGTTAGATAGTTAGATTAGTGTCAATATTTTTTAGCAAAATTTTCAAAAGACCATAACTCCAACAACAAATCGAAAAAATTAATTTTATGTGTGTATATTTGACTTTTTTTTTACAGGTTAAATTGTATAAAATTGAAAAAATTATGTTATTATTTTGTTAAGCATTATTTAATCGTTAATTTGTAAACCCGATACTTTAAAAATATAGGTATACATTTATTTTTGGTAACACCCAGAAAGAAGTGTTTCCGACCCCTAAAGTCGATATAGCCATGTCTGTCTGTCTGGCCGTCTGGCCGTCTGGCCGTCCTGATAAGAGCCGAGATCTCAGAGACAATTGTATTTTAAAATTTCGCCCGCCCCTTCCGCTCCCACAAAGAACGAAAATCTGTGGCATCCACAATCATTCATAGAGAATGATCATGTCATCAATTAATTTGCATTTGCGATACCACTTCCACGCGCTTACTCAATATATTTCTCTCTCTCTCTCTCAAACATTCTTCTTCGTGCAGTGTGCGCCTTCTGACGGAAGGGTGAGAGATATAACGGCTGGTGTTGTTTTGAGAAGGGCGAGAACGGGAAGAGAGAAAAATATAAAATATTCTAAATTTCGAATCAAATAGGCCATTGCGTGGAAGCGCAAAATTTATCATTAAAACACAACTAGTGGTTCGGGGTCTGAGTTGACAGTCCTACCAGAGTCTAAATATATGGTATAGGTTACATAAATCATAAGATGACATATGTAGGTTTATGTATGAATCCTCTGACTCTTTTATCGTCAATTGTAGCGCCCCCTGGTGAAGTGATGGTGTATTACGGCCAGATGGAACTTCGTTGGTGCGAAACTGGTAGAATATTTCTCATTAGATGGATAGAAGGAGTGCAGGCATATAATTTATAAGTTAATCAGTTAGGAGTCATAGGACCTTAAAAAAACTATAACGCCCGTATTTCACTTTGAAAAAACTAGATCTGATGGGAAAAAAGTTGATTTGGCAACACTGGCTAAGCTTTAAGCAAAGCTGAGTACGTTATGGCTGTTTCGAAAAGCAAAGAAGTACGTGATAGCGCCAACCTTTAATCGGTGAAGGCAGCTGTGGCTAGAACGATCAGTGCTGTAGTCCTAGCTCTTTTTGGCCGGTTTTAAATATTAAAAACATAAGGCTGGATGAGGCTGAGTATGTAAATAGTAACCAATGTTTTTAAGTATCTAGAATTTCCACTGCTTATCAGCAATTTTGAAACACGGCACCGAAATGTGATTTTAAAAGCGAATTAAATGGATTGACTGAAAACGCCGATGGCAGTACACATTAAAATCTACTTCGATTGATAGCTCGATGATGTACGCTTCATGATTAAGTGCGATTCAGATCGCGGTTTAAGTACATTTCCTTATAGGTTTTCATCACAATGAATAAGCAGAAACCCAGGTCCCACAAAAGTCGTCATTACATTTTACGGCATCGTGAGTTGAGTCGAAAGCATTGAGAGCTCTACCTGTTACGCGCCCACATGCACACACACGCACACAGACTTACACCCATTCAATACAGTGGTGGACAGGGGACAGGGGACAGGGCACAGGGCACAGGGGACACGATAAAGCAACGAAGCAGCAGTATAAGCGGGGGATAGCAAAGACCAAAGATGAAGCAGCTGGCCGACAAAGAACGGCTTGAACGAGATTCCGAGGCTGGAACCGGTGTTGGTGTGGCCGTAAGTATGTGTGTGTCCGTGCGTGTTTATGTGCCATGTTTAAGCCAGCCAAGAGCGAGTTTGTTGGCCCGAATGTGGCTTTACAATTTTCACAACGTGAGAGAGCCGAGAAAGACGCTGCGCAGTCGCTGTCCCAGTCAGAGTCGAAGACATTTAGGGATTACACTTACCGTTACTGTTTCGGATGCTCGCGGAGGCCCGCGGAACAGAGAGGTTCCACGACACAGATTAAAAAGTGAAACCTACGCAGAGGTCAAGTTAAAAAAGAGAAGACGGATCTGAGCGCTGGAGAATGCGTCAGAAATGTGGCACTGTCTACACCTGGAACTGTGCTGGGGAGTTGTATGCCATCGAGTGCGCCCTCTGCGAGGAGCGGCCGCTTTGCACGCTTAGCGAGTTCACCGCGCATATGGAGGTTTGGCACTCCGACTGGGAGGCCGAGGCGGCAGACGCTTCCACCGATGACGAGGCTTCTTCATATGCAGATTCAGCTGCACCTGCAGCAGCCGTAGATGAGCTGATGCAGGAGGTGCTGGCAGAGCAGCGCACCAGCGAAGCGGACAATGAGTTAAAGCATCAGCTGGTCCAGCAGCTGAACGCCATGGATCAGCCAGTGGCAGAGGCAGAGGTAGAGGTTGGGGCAGAGGTAGAGGCAGAGGCAGCACCAGAACCGACCGTTGTCAGTGAGCAAGTAAAGTTCGCCCTTGAGGTGAGTAGAGTTTGCATGATGCGACCATAATACAATCTGATACGAGTATTACCTTCACATACACAGAACCCCGCGCCTGTGCCGGAGGGCCAGCGGTTGACCACACAGCACGTCAACCAGCTTATCGAACTGTACCGCGCGGAGCCACGTCTCTGGAACCAGTCGCACGCGCAGTTCCACGATACGGAACTGTGCCGTAAGTCCTGGCGCCGTATCACGGACACCTGGAGCGTGCACTGCGGTCGCCGCTTCACTGTCACCGACGTCCGCATACGAGTCTCCACGCTATGCCAGCGCTTCATCAAACAGCGCGAGCGCCTCGAGGCTGACGGTGAGCTCGACGACTCCGTCAAGTTCGTCCACTACGACCAGTTGGGCTTCCTCTGCGAGCAGCAGGCGCTGCTGAAACGCCAGCAGCACTTCGTTCGCGAGAACCGCAAGTTGATCGAGCTCTATGAGCATTACCCGATCTTCTGGCACAATGCCCACAAGCGACAGCGATGCGCGGACACTGTGAGGGGGCGCCACGAGGCGCTCCGCGACCTTCAACTGGCTTTGCGCCTGTCTGGCATTAATCTGTCGTCGCTGGTCATTAAGCGGCGGTTGCAGTCTCTGCGGAAACGATATCGCATGGAGAAGATACGCTATCTGCACTGCGTGGTGGAGGGCAAGCAGGCGGATTTCGTCGCCGGCTTCGAGCACTACGAGGAGATGGAGTTCCTCCATAAACACATTGATCCATATGTGTGCGCTGTCTGCGGCAAGATCTTTGAGAATTTAGCGAGTCATCAGGCGCACGTGCAAAGCAACTGCAATATACAGATGGAAATGGATGTTGGCCCAGAGAAAGAAGCTGAAGATGGGGAGGATGCGGCGGGGGCCCTGCGGGGGGAGCAGTCGGAACTTGTGCAGAAGGATGAACAGGAAGTAGACTTTCTTCAGGACGTCGAGTACCCACATCAGCAGGAACAGAACATACGGCAGGTGGAGAATCTCCCTGTAGAGGACCTTCACCCGAGTGCAATCCTCCAGCAGGCTCCAGGTACTCCTCAAGTGGAGACGAATGAAGATCTCCAAAAGCTGGAAAATATCCCGCAGGTGACGGAACTTCTGGCGAATCTCCAGGAGGCGGATGAGCCTGCACTAGAGCAACCCATCGTGGAGGGTACAGCAGGTTCTGCCCCCGGCCGCGATCAGGACACCTCTCTGACCACTTTGTCCGAAGCCTGTTCCACCACGGAACTGGAAGCTTCGTCCGTGGTGCCATCAGAGTTGGAGCCAAGAGAGAGCTCGCCCGTCCGCCTCAGCCGGCAGCAGACACTAAAGCTGATCAAGCTGTACCGAGCGAACGTGTGCCTGTGGGATCCCAACCACCTGGACTACCATATCCGCAAACATCGCCGCCTGGCTTGGCAGAGAGTCACGGACGAGCTAAACACGAGCGAGTGCACAGGCAAGGGCCAGAAATTCAGCTGGCAGATGTTGCACCGAAAGATCACGGACTACACGAAGTATTACCGCCGGGAGCGACAGAGGGATCAGAAGGAGACCACTAGCTGGAGCTTCTACGAAGAATTCCGCTTCCTGGACGACGTGCTTCCCATCAGCTGTGAAATACAGAAAACGCTTAACCAGCGGGACAGCACCCTTAAGATCATCACCGTATACCAGAGCTATGCCCAGCTCTGGTGCACCGACCACCCGGACTACACGAAGCGGCGGCAGCGTCAGCGGCAGCTGGAATCTCTCTGCACACGCCTGCAGGAGGAGTGCAACCTGCAGATTACCGTGGAGCGACTCAAGGGCCGGCTGATCGAATTCCGCTGCCAGTATCGGCAGTGCAAGGAAGCGCGGATAGCGGCCATCAAGAAGTCCGAACCCTGGACTCCCGAATACGAGTACTACGAGCAACTTCGCTTCCTCGAGCTCCACGTATCACCTTTCGTTTGCCCCCGCTGCACGGCCACATTCAAGCGGCGCACAGACTTCTTGCAGCACGAGCGCAACGTTCACCTGGATCAGGAGAAGGTCCTGAACGGCGAATATGGATTCGTGAGGCGACGCAGATGTCGAAAGGACAAGGACAGCCCCAATGACCTAGCCAACATCTGCCATATTTGCGGCCTAAAGTTCTCGCTGCGCAACAGTCTACTGGCGCACCTGAGGCGGCATCTCGGCCAGCGCACTCACATCTGCTCGGAGTGTCCCAAGAAGTTCTTCAACTCGACGGCCCTACGCGTTCACCAGCGCACACACAGCAAGGAGCTGCCCTACGTGTGCGAGCACTGCGCCCGGGGCTTCGTCAACGCCAGCAAGCTCAATCAGCACGTGAAGCGGCACCGCAACCAACGCGACTTCCCCTGCAACCGCTGCGACAAGGCGTTCTACACTGCCCACGAGCGCGACCGGCACATTCGCGCCCACCTAAACATACGCGACAAGGTCTGCCCCCACTGTTCGCGGGCCTTTGTCGTAGGCAGCGCTTACTACTCCCACCTCAACCTCCACCGCAGCGAGAAGCGCTATTCCTGCGCCAACTGCGGTCGCCGCTTTGCGCAGTACGCCGGCCTGTACAAGCACCGCCGACGCTGTGTTCCCACTGATGTGCAGGCCGAGGCTTAATTAGGGACCAGGGATCCATCCTAACCCGCCGACTTGGCCGTCCATTCTTCCAGATTATTGTCATCCATGCTTAGTTAATGAAATTTAGATTTTTACCACATCACTGATGACTAGAATCCTATTGGTTTATTAGACCTTTCCTGTGTCTAGTTTAGTTCGATTTCTCATGCACGAAATTATAAATGAATTCGTACTCGCTTATCGTTAATTAAGTAAATTGATTGTCCAAATATCCATATTCATTTTGTATATATACTAATACATTATTTGTATATACATATGTAAGTAAAAGGGTCTTTCTGCTACGTGGAACTAAGGCTAGAAAGGGAGATTCTCATGACTTTGGCAAGCCGAAGCTTCTGTTTCCCCAAAATCTTAAAATTAGAGTGTGTCTTGTTCACTTTTTGTAACATTTTAAAATCAAATCGATATTCAGAAAATAAATTAAAATAAAATAAAGATTGCGTTCCGTTTAGACATGTTCTGAACCGATTTCGAATAAATTTCCAAACAGGCTGCGCCTCTTGTTGGGTGTTTTTCACATATTGGGAGCGTGACGAACTTTCCAGTTGGTTGATATAAGAATCATTCAAGCCTAAAAGAGGGTAGGTACTAATTGTCTATTTGTCAATCCACGCTACTTTCCTTCCATTTCAACAGTTCAATCTTCCCGCTGCGACGCCTCTAATGCAGAATTTCGTTCACTGTCTACAATAAAATGGTGTAACAATTATTTTCCAAGGAACAATAAATGATGCGTAAATTTCCAATATTAATATAAATATTTTTCTTGATTTGCTTTTGTATTTGTTGTAAATGCTGTAGTTAAAAAAATGGTTGGAACTGTGTAGGAGCAGCAGCACGGGCTTCAGTTCTTAGTTGGATTTGGCGAAACGCTTCAATTGGCGTAGGCGGTAAATGTCGTGTGCGGGAGGGGCAGAAGGGTGTAAGTCATCGTCGCTGTCATCGCCACCTGGCAACAGGCGACGGCGACGCGGTGGTATCGCCGTCACGCTGTGCTGCACCCCCGTGTACGTGCTGGTGTCCACAATCCAGTGCACCGATTTTGCCAGATCGAAGATTTTGGGCGACAGTTCATTGTCGCCATTGGGTAATGGAGCCGCTGGGAAGATGCAAACGGTAACCCCTTAGTTCTTAGCCAAATTGATAAGGACAAATAACACTTACAGTCGGGCAGATTGAGGCGCATGAATATATCGAAGAGAAGCTCGACGCTGACGAAGGGGCCGCGGAAGGAATTGGGCGGCGGCAGGCCTGCACAGAGTGAGGCCAAAGCCGGCGGTTGGGGAAACACACCGCCTGCTAGCGGATGGGAACCAGGATGGGCGCACGGACGGGGCTTGTAGGGTATCATCTGCCTGAAATCGGGACGCGGCAGCGGGGCGGTCGCCTCGCTATCCCCCTCGGCGTCGCCATTATTCTGGTTTTGAACTCCACCAACCTTATTAAGGATGATCCCTCCAATCTGTTGTTGAAAAACAGCGAAAATATAAAAGTATAATATAAAAGACTTAAAAGTAACTCACCTCAGCATATCCTATGGACTTTAGCTCGGTGGGGGTGCAGGGGAACAGGTCGAGGAACTTATATCGGTCCACCAGCTGGGCGGTTTCCTTTCCCTCGTATTCTTTAAGCTGCACAAGAAAGGATTCTTTCGAGATCAGTTGGAAAAAATGTTGCGGAAACATACATTCTCAAAGACTGCGCTGCGACGACGTTCCACCTTGACGATGCTGGACAGATCTCCGATGTTCGCCTCGAACTCGAGGAAACGGTTCCAAACCTCCACACTCTTGTGTGGCGACAGACCGCCCGAGCTGAGCACGCGCTCGAAGAGGACACGGGTGTTGTTGTCCTCGTTGAGATGCGAGAGGTAGTCGATGTAGCACATGACGTAGTCGGGACTGCCCCCGAAGCGTTTTAGACCCAGCTCGAATATTCGGAATGCAATCTCCTTGTCCTTCGAGCAGTAGTACTCCATAAGCGCAGCGGCAACGAAAATGTGATAGCGACAGCGGACATCCTCGCGCGCCTTCTTGAAGATGCCTCGCGCAGATTTAATGCCCTCAGCGCGACGGGCGAACTGCATGTACTGCACATATACCTGGAACGATAAAAATAGAGGTAATCTATTTGCTCAGATCTTGCTTTGAATCCTAGTTCTCCTACCAGAGTGGGGTCGATGTCTGGGTGCATGATCAGCTTGTTGTACATGGAGTGAACTTTCTCGTACTTGAGACGTCCCTCCTCGAAATCGGCGTAGGCAAAGTAAAGCAGCGCGTTACGATTAAGGACGCCGTTGATCGATCGCTCAAGGATGTTGGCGCATTCGTCAGCGAATATCTTTGCTGCCTGTACATCCTGCAAGAGAATATACAATGGATTAGTATATGTACTTGGTACTTGTAAATGAGTAGGCAAGTAAAACGCGTGCGACCAGAGCCAAGGGCAACGTGGCAAGCGACTGCATTGTACCAGTACCAGCACCAGCACCAGTGCGTGCCACATTACCTAAGGGGCGACACTTCAGAGTAACTGCAACAATAGACGTGATTTGCTTTGGATTTTGATTTGGCAAGTAAAGTGCCGAATCGAGTCTATTCTATTTGCTTCACTACAGATCAGGCTGATGAGACTACTACGCACGCCTTTCTCGCTGAGGACGCGTGCGCTGGTGTCCAGGAACTGTGATGCCTGGTGCCACACGGCCGGATGGTGAGTAAGCACCAGCAGACACTGCTCAGTGGCGAACATGACGCGACGGGTGACCAGGGCAGTGTCCTCGGTTCGAAGTGGATTCGATTTCTCGTAGGTGATGAAGCGTTTCCACAGCTCCACTTGTTTGACCTCCTCTTTAGTGAGTGTGGGTGGCACTGCGGGCAAATTTCGGTTAAGACCCTTCGTATGATACTCTAGTTCCTTGGCCACGCGGCGTGCATTCATGTAATCCCTGGTGGGTCGCACGAAAAAGAGAGTGAGGAATGTGAATTGGCTTAAAGAACAAATGGCGCAAATGGGATTTACTTGGAACGCTCCAGGCTCATCTTCTCGGATATGATGGGATTGATGTTCTGCTCGAAGGATATGTAGTCCTTCCACAGATGCTCAATGCCCACGATGGGCGTTACAACCGCCTTCTGATAGACACGGCGCACAGCGGTGATTTTTTGGTTCTCCGCGTAATTGCCCACCGCCTCGACTCCGCGCAGAAAATAAATGTAGTCCTGCCATATACTGAACGAGTGCAAGTCCATGCCAATCTTCTCCAGTGCAAAGTCATAAGCTTGTGCCATCTTCTCTCTATTTTGCATAATTTATGTTATTGATGTTGGTGAATTGGCTCTTCCCACTTACTTGTGTGTGCTGAGACCAGATTTGGTATCTTTCACGTACGTCAGATACAACTTCCAAAGATCAATATTGAGTATTTTGACTAAACAACGCTGGAATAACTTCTCTACCCGCTCGTAGTAGCGACTCCGCATCTCCATCTCAATGTAGAGCTTCCAGTAGCGGGCAGTAGTGGGAAAGACGCTCACCAGTGACTCGTAAAGGCTGCGCACCTCGTGGATGGGCCGGGAATGGGCCTCACGCAACATCACCGACCAGGACTCAATGTTGTACGGACGCAGTTCGACGACCTGCTGGGCCCGCACCAGTCGCTCCATGCCCCATTCCTGTTGGTAGGAGGAACCATTAGCCGAATAAAACAATTTAAATTTAAAATATCACATACTATGTCAATTTTGATGAGGTCCCGTGCAGACGTCATTGTGTTTTGACTTGTTGTTGCCGCTCGACTAGATGCCGGCGGTTGGCCTAAGGCCTTTGATTGCGCCATTTTGCCTATTTTTCGTTCTTAAGGAAGCTGTTGCAAGTCTCTTGACTGCAACAGACAACACGAACACGTACAAAAAACCTACTCTGAAAACTGAAAACTCCAAATTAATAAATAATTTAGCAATGCGGCTTCGATACGCTAACCGAGTTGATATACAAATTGCATCCCTGTTGCTATCGGTTAGGGGTACTTGATACCTTTTGTTGTAAATTTCGATTTCCATATTCAGTCCGAAATTCGATCTGAGAAATAAAAACATATTCAAAATTGAATACACATATGTAAATGCAAATAATTTTAATTGGGTAAAAAGAATGATGACCATCGATGACCATTCATCGATATTATCGGAACAGGTGGCAGCACTGGCCCTTCCAGAAGCAAAGCAAACATAACGACAGCCGTCAGCCTCAGGCAAAGAACCCAAACGAAACAATCAAGCGTGGCAATCAAACAAAACGAAACGCATTTATCAGCATAAGCATTCAATAAGAACGCTTGGAATTATTATTTTGTATAGAATTTAAGACGAACTGTGCGTGTGTATGGAAACTAGGATCGCCCATAGCGGAAAAATTAAGTGATAAATAGGAAAAGTACGAGCTCCGCTCGCATTTACACACGAACATACTAAGCCACAGCGACTGGCACAACAGGAGTGGGACCGACCAGCTGTTGTGGGTACGACGACTACGAAGCGATAGCGGTACATTCACTTTCTTGGTAAGCAATCAATACGGTTTATTGTGCTCTTTTTTGTTTGCTTTGTTACTCGTAACACATTTGAATGATTTGTTCGCTGGCATGGCGTCGTTGCAAGTGCGGCCGCTGACGATGATATGAGGACGATGGTGGTCTTGCAGATGTGGGTGCCCTTTTTGTTGTTTGCTGCCGATGCTTATATTCTGACGGCGTTATCATTTCTGCTTCCTGTCTTTCTATTGACCGACACCATTGGCCAGGCCTACACCACGACAACCATGCGGGATCTCTTCGTTCCTTGCGCTGTTTGTTTATGTTTGACATTGCGCGTATGCATGGGTTGTGTGTGCGTGTTTGTGTGTGTGTGATAAGGGAGAATAAGTGTGTCACACAGCAGTGGCTGGCTTTTATGTCAAAGCGGAGCCTTCTGCTGACTACGTGCTCCCGTTACACCCACTTGCATACACATGTACGAGTATGTATTCTTGTATTTATTAACGCCGGCAAATGCATGTCACTCATTGGAAAAGGCACATTATCAGACCACACTGCCGACAACTTTTGCTTTTGTTCTTAATTGTGTATATCCTTCTACGCACATATGTACGTTTATATGTGTGTATGTATGTACAAGTGGCCCGAGCCTGGCGGGAGGAGAGGACGGTGCCGTTCCTGCTTGCCCCCTCTTGCCCGCAGGGGCGGCGTTGCCTACATTTGGGCGCAGTTGGGTTCATTGGAGCTTGCGCATGTTTCTGTGGAATTACTCGTACGCCAATAATTTGTATTGCGTATTCTCTATGCTCCCACACATATAGAGAAAATTACTGTGAAATATGTGCACATGTATGTACATAAGTGCATGCAGTACATAGGTGCAACCTTATAGAACTTAACCCCACCCGCTTGCATACCCTTGCTGAGTGTATTCAATGTGCCCAGATTTTCGCAAAGCAAAGAAAGAGCCTTTGCGATCCTAGATTTAGGTACAAAGCTGTACATAGCTGCGGTGGGAACGATCGCTTGAAGTTTTAGTGCATTTTGCGTCACATAATACAGACATAATCAGGCAATACTGCACCAGGAACATGGTCTACAAGGAGGGTATCCCAGTGATGTTGACTTAAATTCAAGTATTTTAGATATGCACATCATTGAACTGTTATGGGATCGAAAACACTTCCTTCTGGCTGTTATATATGTACAAGAATCTAACACACTCCTTTACTCTTTGAGGACCGGGTATTATTAATCATTAGTTATGAAGTTATGAGGATCTGACCACTACAGCGAGTAGGAAGCGCCCCTGGGCGTGTCCCTTTCAAGCACTTTAAGTGCATACTTTTAGGAAGTATACCCAGGTCAGGGTTGTTTTAAATGCTTGGCCCGTCACCACCTTAAATCGGAAAACATCTTTTTGAGCCCACAATTTGTAAGATACACGGACATAAATGGCATTATATTACCTAGTAGACTATCAGGACTATCTCCCAGTACAGTTTGGAGTCCACCGGAATTGGGTCAGACTTATAATGCTCGATACGATGTTAAAAAAACGATTAGCCGTCGACACGTCCATATTTTGGACGTTTTCTAATTTTAAGAGAAAGGATCACAATGATATAACAGCCCCACATCTGGGGGTCGACGATCGACCTAAAATCGTAGTATATCGGACAATTTGGTGTTTTCCCATAATTTCAGACATCTAACAGCCAACAATTTGCTTGACTTCAAACGAATTTGATATGTCTTAGAAGTTTTCGTCTATTATTTAATTTTCCGACGTTTCCCTTGTGCGTATTTTATAGGAAAAAGACACGAATCCCTCCTGGCGTTTCATCCGTATCGAATGACTCGCCTGTGCTCGCTTATGGCCAATTTGCACAGCGAAAGAACGGTTCTGACCGGGTGGAATGCCACTATTATTTCATAGTTCCTCGAACCGTATAAGGTTTCACTTGTCCTGGATACGCCATCGATAGAAAACATTAATAATGTTCCCAATGGTTGGTTATGTACATCAATGGTATGTACTCGTATGAAAAGGTGAACAAAAGTGGGAAGGAGTCAGTGGCTTTCGATAATTATACTAAGTTATAGATTCTCGTCAACGTTTCAGCCTGTTTTTTCATTCATAAAAGAACAGTAACAATGTTAACAATGTTAATGTACAAGTGTATGTGTGTGTTTGTGTGCAAATTAAACAACTGCGGTAGCGGATTGTGTTTTTAAAAAGTTTTTATTTTACTTCGAACTTCACTGATATAGATTTAAGTAGAGGGTCACAAAGGAATTCCGGGCCAAGGGATTGCGCGATCTTAATATTTAGCTAGACTTTGCGGTGTCGCTGCTGGATCAAGACTGATTTGAACTTTCTGATCTTTGCATCGTTGATCCCTTTCGGGAATCGTTTTTCTATAAACATTTCAATTGATTTCGCCATCCCGAGTATTAGATTTCGTCATCCAAAGAGAGAACTGTAAAAGGCCTAAAGTGCAGGATCTGCAGAAAGCCGGGAGTGAGATTGTTTATGAGAAGCCGGGTGTGGGCAAACATTGGTTTTCCATTTAGGCGAGTGTCAAAGAATGGGATTGCGGCGGGGGCGCTTGAGATTGTACATCTTAGAAATCAATTAGGCGGAGGCCCAAGATTGAAATTGTTTTCGTTTTGGAAAACCAAAGATTGTTTACAACTCGTATAAGAGCTCAATGGAATTGGGTACGTTAACTCCCCCCATTCTTAAATGTTTCGTCCCGATACATTTTGAAGTTCTGATAGAGCTCTAATTTCTTCTGACAGTATTTGAATGTTGCTTTCCACTATTTCTTCTGACGGTATTCTTATTGATTTAATAAGTACAAATTTGGTTAATTTATAGCAGAAGTAAAATAACATTAACAATATCAAAATGATTAAAAATAATGTTGTTAATGGTAAGGCCGTATTACCTAATGTTATAAGGGGATTTAAAATATTAACATTATCAAAAGAAAATTGCTTATCATTTGATTGTATATAATCAACTAATTCAAAATCGCTATATCTATGATGCGATATATATTTTAGAATTTTACCCTTATCATTTATGTGGCTTATATTATTTATTACAATTGTGTTGTTGAATATAAGGAGATACGATCCTAACAAAGTAGTATTGTCTACGATATTTTTGCCTGAAACTAATATGGCACCATCCTGAATGATGTCTATTTCTTTGTTTTTTTTCCCTTTTTTTAGTGCAGTTGGCTTTAAAGCCATTAAGTAAATTGGTGAAACAGGTACTCTTTAAATTTATTTGTGCGTAATTGTTAAAAGTTTCACTTTTAAAATTATTCATTAAATAGTATTTCTCCTTACATTCACAAACTTTTTCACTTATAACTAACATTCCATCATTTTGTGAGATGGCTCTTGCATGGTAAAACTTGCAAATATCTTTAATTTGAGGATATTTTATGTAAATGATTATTAAATCTGCATTTCGAATTATTTTAACCGTTGCAATGTCCAACAGATCAGACAGTTCAACATTATGTTTTTCATGCTTATAAATGTCCTCTATTTCGTTTTTATTTAAAATTTTTGTATTGAAAATGTTTACTTTTAAGAGGGTTATGGTATCAACTAAATTTAGTAGGTCAAAAGTTATTAATTTTAAACGATGCTTTCTCAGTATCGTTTCTTCATTGAAGATGACATTCTTTAATGAATTTGATAGCAATTCAATTTCTTTGAAAAATTTGGAATTTATTACAAATTGTTTATTATTATTTTCAGTTAATTCATTTACTTTATTTTGTATTTTCAAAAAGTCGTCATGATCAGGGCTGCCTGCTATCCATTTCCAAATGGTACCTAATTCATTTATTCCCCTTTCTTTCCGTTTTGGAACTAATTCTGAAATCATTAATTTTAATAGACTTAAGTCCATTGATATTTCCCACTCATCGTCTGAATTAATTGATTTGTTGACATATTTGGATTCTTTATCAATTATCTCTCTATAAAAACTCAAATTAGTAATATGGAAAAGTTCAGCGTATGTTTCATAAGTGTAAACGTCTCTGTCGTCTTTGAGCAATAGATAGTCACTATGCGTATAGTCAATTACTTCCGCAGTCGTCAATATAACAAAAGTCAGTATTAGTATATTCGCATACATTTTCTGGAAAAAATATTTAATATTTGATGTTATCTTTATGTATAATTCTGTTTCTATTGTTGATTATAATTTTATTCGGTCGATTTTCCTTAACTACCTGCTTTTTGTATCGGGATTGAAGTTTATTTCTTTCCCCGAATTTCTTTTCATAGACTACTTCTCCTATTTTATAATCTTTTTCTCTTCTATCTTTGTTATGTATCTTAAGC